AATGGATCTTTGCTTAATGTTTGTAAAAAGTTTGGAAAGTTTCCTGAAAACCTTGTTGCTCTATATATTAGTCAAGTTTTGGAAGGTTTATTATATCTTCATGATCAAGGTGTTATACATCGTGATATAAAGGGTGCAAATATATTAACCACAAAAGAAGGTTTAGTTAAATTAGCTGATTTTGGTGTTGCTACAAAAACTGCTAATCTTGGTGATTTATCCGTGGTTGGTTCTCCTTATTGGATGGCTCCTGAAATAATTGAATTATCTGGTGCTACTACTTCTTCTGATATTTGGAGTGTTGGTTGTGTTGTTATTGAACTTTTAGAAGGAAAACCTCCTTATCATAATTTAGATCCAATGCCTGCCCTTTTTCGAATTGTTGAAGATGATCATCCTCCTTTACCTGAAAGTGCTTCTCCTGCTGTTAAAGACTTTCTTATGCAATGTTTTCAAAAAGATAGTAACCTTCGTGTATCTGCAAGAAAATTACTTAGACATCCTTGGATTGCTAATGTTCGTAAACCAAATATAACTACTGAATTTGAAGATGCTATAAGATCTGTGAAAGAATGGAATGAAGCTCTAAAGGATGCTAAATTTGAAAATCATAAAAGACGAAGAAGTGGTTCTATAAAATCTTCTGCTACTATGCCTACAAAATCAACATCTCCTCTTTATTGTTCTTCCCCAAAAATTCCTGATTTTACTCCTCCTACTAATACTTGGGATAACTTATCTTCTCTGGGCAATTCTTTGAATCAACAAAATAAACGTTTATCCGTATTTCTTGAACAGGCTGAAGTTGAAGGAAATAATTGGGATAATGATTTTGTAGATTCTATATCTTTTTCTCAATTTACTGATATTCAAAACAGGCAACCAAATACTAAATCTTCTAATGCTGATATTCAACCTAAACAATCAAATCATGAATTTTCTGATGATGATAATTCTCAAACTGTTCGACCGGCTCAATTTAGTAATGGTCTTAAAAAAAATAAAATTCATTCGGTTTCAAAAGATCAAGGAAAACAAATTACAATAAAAGACAATATAACTAATGGATTCGTTGAGAAATCTAATGGTTTGGAAAATGTTCAGGACACTGTAATTCATTTACCTTCAAAATCTTTAAATAATTCTACTCTGGAATCATCAACTTCAATGTCTAATGATACTGATGAATCTAAACCACGTACTAGACATACTCGTTCACATACCACTAATGAAGTACCTGTCTCAATTAATGGGGTAAAAAAGTGTTCAAATAAATCTCTTTCTTCTTTACCTGCTCAAAAATCAACAATGTCTGCTCCATCTTCTCCATCTTCAAGATATTTTGATATACCTGGTTATCAAATATCAAATAAGATTATAATTAGTCCATCTCGAGTATCAACTCCCGTACATTATGAATTTCTGGAATTAAATGAATTCCATCAATATCAAGAATTTGAAGATGAACAAGATTACAATCAAGCTTTTCGAGATTCTGATGATGATGATGATGCTATAAATCATACGTTAAAATTAAATGCACATGACAGTTGGAGAGGTGATGATAGTAGTGATGAAGATGATCCATTCGCTGAATTGGAAGAAAACTTTGATGAAATGGACTTGGATGCACATATTGCTCGAGATAAATA